TCAATATGGTAGGAGCAGGTATAACTATTGCAAAGAGATGGGTAGAAATCAGCCCACTTTAGAAGAAGAGGGATGGATAGTCTCTTACATAAGTTGGAAAGAAGAATGAGGCACGAAAGCATTTGTTGTTGTTTTAAATATAGATTTTGATCTTGGAAACACTGCACGTTATTCTAATTTTCTGTATATGGCTTCTTACAAAAACTATGGCTTTAATAATAGCAACAGCAATAGCGCTTAGACTTATATACCGCTTCACAGTGCTTTACTGCCCTCTCTAAGCGGATTACAGAGTCAGCCTATTGTCTCCAACAACCTGGGTCCTCATTTTACCCACCTCGGAAGGATGGAAGGCTGAGTCAACCTTGAGTCGGTGAGACGTGAACTGCCAAACTGCTGGCAGCTGGTGTTCAGCAGAAGTAGCCTGCATTACTGCACTCTAGCCACTGTGCCACCGTGGTTCTTAAAGAGGAAAGAAAATAAAGATTATTTATCAGGAGTTCTTACAATGGTTATGACCTGGTTATGAGCTAAATGGTTCCACTTGTTGCTTGATAGATGAAGCAGGAAGTCTATGATAAAAGTCTGTGGAGATTCTCAGTCATCCAGGTCATGATTGTCCCAAAGGTGCTTTTTGAAGAGGCAAGTGGACTTTCTGGTTTTTCTTTGAAGACGTTTCGCTTCTCATCCAAGAAGCTTCTTCAGCTCTTCTCAGAATCCATTCTGAATCCATTCTCAGAGCCGAAGAAGCTTCTTGGATGAGAAGCGGAATGTCTTCAAAGAAAAACTAGAAAATCCACTTGCCTCTTCAAAAAGTACCTTTGGGACGACTATGATAAAAGCAACTGATGCATCAAGGCCCTTATTGCCACCCTTGGCCAAGAAAGTGAAGTGCCTCCAGATTGGTCTTAATCAGATTTATTGAAAGGAGAAGAAGACATCTGTTATGGCGAACCTGTGGAATATTTGCCACAGGTGGCACGCGGTGCCCTCTCGGTGGGCACGCGAGCCATCACACAGCTCACCTTCACCACACATGTGCACGTGCCTCCTGCCAGCCAGCTGATTTTGGGGTCTCTGCCGCACATGTGGGAGACACATGTGCGGGCGGGCCACGGGTGCATGCGGGGGGCAGGGGGCTCATGCGCACATGGGGGCAGGGGAGCGGCACCCCCCCTCACGCCCCATTTTTGGTTTCAGGAAGGCCTGCTAGGCCCAAAACGGGGCACGGAGGTTCGCTGGCATGTGTGGAAGGAGCACAGGGTGGGGAGTCATGCATTCATACACAGCGGGGTGGGGCACATTGCATTATGGGCGTGGGCATGTGTGCGATTTTGGCACGCGAAGACAAAAAGGTTAGCCATCATTGGAAGTGTAAAAAAACACCAGGCACTTTTTATCATATGTGGTGGACGAGCAATGAGGCAAAAAAATATTGGAAAATGATTCAATCATGGCTAGAACAAATGGTGGGAGACCAAATCTTCTTTAAACCAGAAATTCCTCTCCTAGGTATAATACCGGAGGGGTTTAAGAAAGATACACTTCATCTAATTATACATGTACTAACTGTGGCGCCCATAACTTATGCACAATATTGGAAAAAAGAAAATACGCCATCAGAACTAGATTGGCCTGTGCGGAAGCAGATAGGCTACCTCTCGAACTTAAAAATAAAGGCGAATCAGAATATTTTTGAAGTCTGGAATAGATTTTATGAACTGGTATAAGACCAGGTGACAAGACTGGAACAAACTGTATATATTGTAATTGGACAGAAGGATAGACAATGTATTAAGTAGGCTAATTGTTAA